AACATAGTAAAAATGGCAATCTTACCAAAAGCAGTCTGCAGATTCAATGCAATCCCCATCAAAATCCCAACACAATTCTTCACAGACCTGGAAAGAAAAATGTTCAACTTCATATGGAAAAACAAAAAACCCAGGATAACCAATAGAATCTTGTACAATAAAACAACCCCTGGAGGCATCACAATCCCTGACTTCAAGCTCTACTATAGAGCTACAGTAATAAAAAACAACTTGGTACTGGCATGAAAACCAACATGTGGACCAACGGAACCAAACTGAAGATCCTGACATTAATCTGCACACCTATGAACATACGATTTTCGTCAAAGAAGCCAAAAGTGTACAATGGAAAAAAGAAAGCATCTTCAACAAATGGTGCTGGCATAACTGGATGTCAACATGTAAAAGATTGCAAATAGATTCATATCTGTCACTGTGTACAAAACTTAAGTCCAAGTGGATCAAAGACCCCAACATAAATCCAGTTACTCTGAACCTGATAGAAGAGAAAGTAGAGAAGTAGTCTTGAACACACTGGCACTGGAGATCACTTCCTAAAATAACACCAGTAGCACAGACACTGAGAGCAACAATTAATCAATGGGACCTCTTGAAACTGAGAAGCTTTTGTAGGGCAAAGAACTCGGTCAATAAGATAACATGATAACCTACAGAATGGGAAAGATCTTTACCAACCCCACATCAGATAGAGGGCTGATTTCCAGAATATATAAAAAACTGAAGAAATTAGACATCAATATACCCAACAGTCCAATTAAAAAATAGGCTATAGAGCTAAAGAGAATTCTCAACAGAAAAAGCTGAAATGTCTTAAAGACATTTAAGGAATTGCTCTCAACATCCTTAGTCATCAGGGAAATACAAGTAAAATTTACTCTAAGATACCATCAGATACCTGTCAGAATGGCTAAGATCAAAAACATTGAAGACAACTTATATTGGCTAGCTTGTGGAGCAAGGGGAATACTCCTACACTGTTGGCGGGAGTGTAAACTTGTATAGCCACTTTGAAAATCAATATGGTGCCTTCTTAGAAAATTGTGAATCAGTCTCCTTCAACATCTGGCAATACCACTTTTGGGCATATACCGAAGGAACGCTCAATCATATCACAAGGACTCATGCTCAACTATGTTCATAGCAGCATTATTTGTAATAGCCAAAACCTGGAAACAACCCAGATGCCCTTCAACTGAAGAATGGATAAATAAAATGTGGTACATATACACAATGGAGTACTACTCAGCCGAGAAAAACAATGACATCATGAGGTTTGCAGGCAAATGGATGGAACTAGAAAATATCATCCTGAGTGAAGTAACCCAGATTCAGAAAGACAAACATGGTATATACTCACTCATAAGTGGATACTAGATGTAAAGCAAAGGATAACCGGACTGCAACTGACAACTCCAGGGAGGCTACCTAGTAGAGGACCCTAGGAAAGACACTGGGATCACCCAACGACCGAGAAATGGATGAGATCTACATGAGCAAACTTGGGGTGAGAGGGAGTAATGGATGGCAAGGGTAGAGAGAAGAGAGCTTAGGGGAGCAGGATATCCCAGCTGGATCAGGAACAGAGTGGGATAACAAGGAAAGAAATTCCAAAATAAATGAAGATTCCATGGGAACAGGAATAAGCAGAGTGCTAGAGAGGTTCCCAGAAATCCACAAGGATGACTCCACTATAGACTACTGGCAATGGTTGAGAGAGTGCCTGAGCTGACCTACTCTGATGATCAGATGGCTGAATACCCTAACTGTCATGATAGAACTCTCATCCAGTGACTGATGGAAGCAGATGCAGAGATCCACAGCCAAGCCCCAGGTGGAGCTCTAGGAGTCCAATCGATGAGAGAAACTAGGGATTCTATGAGCAAGAGATATTGAGATATGATTGGAAAAAGCACAGGGACAAATAGCCAAACTAACCCCCATGGAACTGGACTAGACCCTCTGGATAAGTGAGACAGTTGTTTAGCTTGAGGTCCCCAGGCAGTGGGACCGGGACCTATCCTTGGTGCATGAGCCAGCTTTTTTGGAACCTAGGGACTATGCTGAGACACCTTGCTCAGTCTTGGTGCAGGGAGGAGGGAATTGGACCTGCTTCAACTGAATATACCAGGCTGGGCTGACCCCCGAGAGGAGACCTTGTCTTGGAGGAGATGGGAATTGGGGTGAATTGGGGGAGGGGGGAGGCTGGGGGGTGGAAGGAAGGAAGACAGGGGAATCAATGGCTGAGATGTAAAATGACTAGAAAATCTCTTATATAAAATTTTAAAAATGACCAAAAAATGTAATAATTGTAAAGTTGTGGTGGCACACACCTTTAATTCCAGGCTTGAGTGGTGGGGGCAGAGGCAGGTGGATTTCTGTGTTTGGGGCCAGTATGATGATATAGTTAGTTGCAGTCAGCCAGGCCTCCATAGTGAGACTTTGTCTTGATAAATAAATAAACAAGTGAAAAAGGAAAAAAACAAAACAAAACAAAAACAGAAAATGTACAATGACTGGAAGGTTAAATGAACAAAATTTAGAAGGTAAAAAATAAGCTTCAAATTTTAAAAGTTAATGAGGTTTATCAGCGGTTGTCATTTCTATGTCAATCACAGCTATTTTCAGACAATTTTTACAATAAAAATGTCTATCAAAACATGTCTTAGAAGAAATTTTGCAATAGAATTCCTTAATTTCTAACATTCTAGCATATTTTTGAATTTACTCAACAAAGTTTGGTGGTCCTGTCAAATAGATAATGTTTTCTTCTTTTATGTGAGTGCATGCTAATTTTGAATAATAAGATTTATTTTCTCATCTTCAAAATCACTTTTTTTTCTTTAAAGGATATTGAGATCAACACAGCAAATATATTTCAAAAGGTTTTGTGTTTTGATACAGTTTTAAAATGTAAATGTGAAGTATTGTCCCTTTCTTGTTTTCTCAGCCAGCAGTGTTCAACTTCTGAGATGTCCTTTTCTCATGCAGGTTTTCAGAATTTTCTTGCATTTGCAGGTGTCTAGCATATACTCACATTTCTCCTAGAAAATAGACACATCAGCTCCTGGAGGACAGAAGGCTGAAGAGTGTGCTGCCGGCATCTTTTCCACAGGGCTCTGCAGCAAAGCAGTGTTGTAGTTAGCTGTACTGATTGTGAAGAACATGGCTGCTGTGAGCCACTGGTGTGAAGAGAGGCTGTGATGATGTTGCTGTGTTGTAAGGTTGGCAGGTGTTTCTTTTTCCATCCCAGGCAGCCACTGGGGGTCTAGAAGGTTCAGAATTCCTGTTGGTGAGTCTCAGTGCTTGGTGCCTGGAATAAAATCCAGAGAATCTCATCTCCAGTGTTTGGCTGTTTTCTCCCACAGGAGAGGGCACAATCTTTACTTCTCACTGTGTACATTTTCACAGGCATCTTCTAATATAATAGCTGCAGAATTCCACATTGAAAGGCCTGGACCAAATGTAGATCTTCAAAGAAATCTCTGAATTGACTCTGGAAACCCTCCTTATCCATAGAGGGAGATTTAAAATGTGTGTAGAGTGAAGATCAAAGGCAATTTAAGAAAGAGATTTATTAGGTAGGAGAGACGGGAGGGGACGGAAAGGGTACTGCTACTTTGCTAGGATCTGGTGATATGACAAGTACTGAAAACAATAAAAGGTCCAGCCTTTATTGTTTTCTCCCAGGCTCCATGGAAAAGTCTAACAACCAGCTGAAGATTCTAATCTGAGGGATATTCAATGGATCTATGCATACTGAATTCTTTAGTCCATTCACTTTATTCTTCTAAATCCATTCTATCTATACAGCTTCTTTTCTGTTCTCATACTTAGCTCAGTCCCTTCTGCTGTTCTCTCTTCATTTTACCTAGTTCTTTCCATCTCCATCCTCATCTTTGTTCTTCTCAGTCAATTTCCTAAGTGCTCTGAGGGAACCAGTGTGTGTGTGTGTGTGTGTGTGTGTGTGTGTGTGTGTGTGTGTGTGTGTGTGTGTGTGTGTGTGTACACATGTGTATGTGTATATATATCTATCCAAGCAGTAATTCTTTGGCAAAGCAATGCGAGAATGTGAGTCTTGAAGTTTTCAGGGTTGCAGCAAGAGGTGATAAGGATCCATTCATAAAGCAGTAATTGTCAGTTTCCACTTACAACCCAAAAGGGGAGTGACTAAAGGGGAGTTCTCTGGTAGGGTCAACTAAAGGCTAAAATCATTAGGGAATCTAGGAATAGCCCCTGGCTGAGGAGGAATTAAAACTTAATTTGCACAAGAAAGAAGCTTGACACCAATCACCTGCCTGGCCTTGCAGGCAATCTCCTTGGGTCATCAGGAACTAACCCCCTTAACTCAGTAACTAGCAAGTGGCTAAAACATCATCCCAGGAATGTGAGCAGTAAATCTCTTAAATTCGGGTCTTGTGTAAATAACCCGAGGTGAAGGTAAGGAGTTGAGGATTTAATTGTTTAAAGGTTTATTTCATTTCAAGCCACGGCAGGGACCTAGGTTGAGCACCCTGACACAGTGGAGGCTAGAGGAGGTGCCTGCTGCTCTGCAAGCTCATTTTTTAAAGGCAAACCCACAAGGTTACATCAGTTAGGGGCACGAGTATGGTGACAATTCTGATTGGCTCAAATTTTAGAGGCTTTTCAAAATTTCTGTGTTATCTTACTTTGTAGTTTTAACCAGTTGTTTGTTAAACTTTATAGACTACCTCTGGCATTGGGGCATTCTGTGGTTAGTCAATTGCTACCAGATAGTCCTTCAAACATCTTGACTTTTTACTTTTGACCATTTCTGGCATTGGGGCATTCTGTGGTTAATCAGTTGCTACCAGATGGCTCTTCAAACATCCTGACTTTGTCCTTTGATCTATGTCAGCAGCTCTGAGAATTTTTAAACCAGGCCTGTTTCAAGCTGGGGTGAGGGGCTTGCTTGAAATGGGGGTGCTTTGGCTCTTTGGGTTCTAGTGAAAGCTGTTTACTATCTGTCCCTCTTCCAGTCTTAACATCTCCAGGAGGCAGGTGCTTGGGTTCCAGGCTCTGTGAGATGCTGTAGTGAACACGAAAGAGTCATATTTGCATAAGTAAAACTCATAAGGCCTGCAAATCAAAACATATACTGCACACATCTTGCCTGCTCTCCTAAGCAGGGCACATGAACCAACTGGGCAAGGTTAGCAGGCCTCTGAGAAAAGTGCTGGAGAAATGAATCTAGGAACACAGTGAGTATCATTAAACAGTATTTTTCCATTCTAAATGACATTTTAAGGTTCAGCAGTGTAAGTGCTGTGTAAGTGTGAGGACTCAGGCCCCATGCAAATGCCAGGTAAATATAGCAGTTGTAATCCCAACCTGTGGATGGTGGATGTAGATGATCCCTGTCATGAGCTGCCTAGCTAGACTAGCTATGGCTTCAATTTAGAGACCTGCCTCAATACATATGATGAAGGATGTCAACTCTGGACCTCTGCCTAAGGATATCAACTCTGGACCTCTGCCCATGCACTCCCTCACACATGGAAACACACATGCAGAGAACACACATTTGTGTAAAACCTGGCATTTTATTTGTGGTCCTTTTCCATCTCCTCCTTTCCCCCACCTCTGCTTTCCCTGTTTTCCTTCCTTTCTGTTCCCATTCCCTCGTCTCCCCTCCTTTCCCTTCCCCTTTCCTCTCCTTCTCTTCTACCATCTTCTTTTTTGTTATTTTGAATTTGCTATCCAGGGAGAGTCAAAGGTAAGGTAGATAATAGAAAACAGTCTTTCACAATTTGTATCTGTGTAAATATCTGTGCCATTTTGCCATAACTGTGAAAGGAACTTTAGTTTTAATTTTAATTTAATTTAATCTCATTGCTTATGTTTTATGTTAGAAAACTTTTGATGAGAATTTAAAGACTACTATGACTCTAATGACTGGTGCTCCTGCATTCTGGGGGTGATTGACAGATATTTCATCTTAAGAGTGTATCACCTGAATGTTGGAAACAAACACTTCTCTTGCCTCTATCCTACCAGAGATAATGGATGGTGCTAGTGCCAACGTAAGAAGCTGGATAATGGGCTTGTAAAGAGTTGAGTAGAGTCCTAGAACACTTAGAACTCAAAAAAGTAGTTCTTCAATTTACATATGCTATCTGTGCCTCAGTTTCCCTATCAGTAAAATGGAGATGGTGGTAATGGCACCTACTGATGATTACCAGTGGCTGAAGTGAAAAAAATGCATGCTGAGTATTAAGGTCCATGGCACTCCAAAAATGTTCCGTATCATTCCCGTGGCATCTTATTTCTCAGGTAAGAAGGAAAGAACTGCCTACAGAGTTCTGACAAAGCTTAGCCTGGAGAGATGAAAGATGAACGAGGAAAGAAACAGCCAGGTGTGGTGGCATGTGAGCATAAATGCAGAACTTGTGCGGATGAGAATATAAAAAGATCATGAAACCAAGGCCAGCTTGGGTTGCATAGTAGTAAGACTGTCTGAAGTACATTTTTAAAAGGATAATTTCTATAGTTAAATGGTTTATATTTATGTTTAGTGCTGTGGGATGTTCTGTATGGCAAATGTGTTGCTCTGATTGGTCAATAAATAAAATACTGATTGGCCAGTGGCTAGGCAGGAAGTATTGGTGGGACTAACAGAGAGGAGAAAAGAAAGAACAGAGGAAGGCAGAAAGAGACACTGCCAGCCGCCACCATGACAAGCCGAGTGTGAAGATGCCAGTAAGCCACGAGCCACGTGGCAAGGTGTAGATTTATAGAAATGGGTTAATTTAAGATATAAGAACAGTTAGCAAGAAGCCTGCCATGGCCATACAGTTTGTAAGAAATATAAGTCTCTGTGTTTAGTTGGTTGGGTCTGAGCAGCTGTGGGACTGGCAGGTGAGAAAGATTTGTCCTGACTATGGGCCAGGCAGGAAAACTCTAGCTACAGTTTATGTTTCTCCCTAAGGCAAAAATTAGAATATCTTCAAACAGAATGGAGCCACAGGCAGGGGCCTGTGGAAAGGTGCAGAGGGAGTTCTGAGCAAAGACAATATTTATATCAATCCAATGAGAAAGAGATTTCAGGATTTTCCAAGGCATTGACATAAGTGGGGAACTCTGGAACCTGTCCATTATTTGAGACTTGTATTTTAAACTTATTTTACTTGTGGTTTTACAAAAAGACTAATCATTGGTGTTCAACAGGAGAAGAAACACATCTTTAGAAAGTCCAGTCTATTTAGTTTGTATCTACTGTGTGCAAGTGCAGAATGAAAGATATTAGCAGAGTACATCAGAGGTCTGAACATCTGAGGATGATGAGAAAGGAGAGAAAAGAGGAGAGAGGGCAGAAGGGAGGAAAGGAGGGAAGGAGAAAGAAATATATGGGAATTTATTCAGAGAATCCAGATTAGAATTGCTCAGTTTGGAGATTTATAAGTCTATCTTCTCCTTGCAGTGCCTGGCAGGCTCATTGCTCAATAAATATTTGCTGTGTAAAAAGAGGAATCAGAAAACAATTATGAAATAGAGTGGGGGGAGATTTCAGGTTGTGAAGGAGGAAGAGAAATGAGAGTGCATATAAGATGTACATGGTGGGAAGAACAGGTTGTAATGCTCCATAGGGGGCAGTGTGAAGGGCAGAGCAACCTCCTTAGAGTCTGCAGAAGAATGTCAAGGAAGAAGATAGGGAAACAGCAAAAATGAAAATCAAAGATCTCTGAGAAACCTGTGGGACTCTGAAGTGTGAGACAAGAAGAGTACAGATCTGCAACATGGGAAAGAAATCATGGAATACATGGAGATGTAAGATCTTTCACTCAAACAAGAAAGGACTCCCAGCATCACACAAAAGCCACAGGAGATGCAGTGAAAAGAAAGCTCTCTATAGACTTGGCTTGACAGCCACAGTGGGAGTCCCAGGACAGAGTGAGAAGGCTCAGCAGAGCAGCAAGCAGAAGTAGTTGCCTGCTGAGTTTACTTCCTAATATCAATGAGGATTAATGGAGAAACTACTTTCTGTCTTCCTTCCTTTCATCCCACCTTTTCTCTGTCTCTCCCTCTGTTTCTCTGTCCCTATCTCTCTCTTTGGGGGGTGAGGAATAAAGCATTTATTTTAAATATATGACTTAAGAATTTGCCTGAGCATATGAGGGCATGGGAATGAACAGATTTAAGCAGCTATGAATGGGAATTCAAAGGATGATTTTTACAGGAGATTATCACTGAAAGCTTCCTCGTTTCTCACAAACTCTCAGTGAAGAAATTCAGATCTGGGTTTAAATCCCAGGAACCACAGGAGAGTCTGGTGTAAAGTATCTTTTACCTTCTACTGTAAAAACAACCGACAAGTAAAACTGTAAAAGCACAAAGCTGAATTCAGTATGATATTCTTAGTGTGGTCGCTTATGAGAACATATCTGGCATGCTTCCTAATTCCAGCATCGCCTTCCTGGTCTCTGCCAATGACTAAACCAATTTTCTCAAAGCCTGAGACACCATTGTTCTTCTTACAGGAATATACATTAGGTGTAATGCAGCCTTCCCCTTTGGTCAGTTTGCACTTTTCAGACAAAAGCTTGGATGCCATCTGGAAAGATGTTCTGTTCACTGCTAAAAGCCACTGATGCTGGCATAATGTGAAATGACATAAGCTTTTAAGACTTCAGGAGTGTGAGAGGCTGCAGATGGGGTGGTATAGAGGAGCAACAGCTGGCTGGCTGGGCCTCTAATTGAAGTTTGCAAATCTATCTCTGTGTATGTAGAACGATGTGCTGGTTATAGTAACAGATCCCCAAGTCAGTAAATGTAGTGTGGCTCTTGGGTTACTTAACCAAACATTTAACCTTTCTGAAACAGTGTCTTCATATGTAAAACCAAGAAAGTAATACCAAACTTTCTGTATTTTAGTTTTAACAAACTTGCCTTTATTGTGACAAAGTAATTAAGAAAAATCCTTTAAATGTAGGTATGAGGTCCTGGAACAAAGTTGCACTGATGGAGCCTGATTTACTGGTTAGAATTTCATTGATTATGGAGGAGTTGAAATGCTGTGAGTCCAGAAACTAATTATAAATCATCTCAGACTATCTTTTGCCTCCCTAAACTACCAGTCATCGTCTATATTTGTATTTGCTTAACATCCTTGTGAGTATAAGCACATCCTTTGGAATGTATGAACAGATACTCTAGTTTTCACCAATCCAAAATCATCATTAGCATCAATGACTTACATCAGAAATATCCCCCACAGGCCACAGAGTGTCTTTTGCTTCTCCTATGCCTTCACATATTTGCTGCTGCCATCTTCCTCAGGTATCTGGTATGGCACCAATGGGTGTGGGGAGATGTCCCCTGCCTGTAATATGTATTTATCTCATGGATATAACCTATTCTACTGGGCGTTTTTATGTGTGGATTGTTATGAAGATGATTTCTTCCTAAGCTGTACTGTCTAATTGATAATAATAATGTTAGTTTAAATAGAGTTTTAATGATTGAAAATAAATACAAGGGAGTGTCATACAGCTAGGGCCTGCCTATTCATTTCACCTAAGGGGCTGCATAGATTACAGTTTAGATTACTGATTAAGGAAAACAATTGTCTCAAGAGCCAGGCTAGCTTGAATTCTTTAAATCTTAATGTTGAGAGATGTGTTCACAGGTTTCAGAGTGCATCATAGCTGAATCAAAGCTTTGAAAATAACTTAAAGTTAGATTAAGATGTTTTTGTTAAATAACTTTGAGGTGAGAAAACCCAAGAAGATAATATAAAGTTTTAGAAAGGCACATAGTTGAATGAGGAACTCATCAAGGTCAGGGAACAAGAGCATAGCAGCCCACTTATTATTAGCTGACATACCTTTCTTTCTAGGATTGGTTGATGACCAAAGGTGATGATTAATTCTGCCTTCAATCTCCTGATTATAAAAATATATATATTGAAGGGTGAGTATGCACCCTAAAGATTTGAAGTAGAGCTGACTGATTCTTTTTCACATATAAAAGTTTAGGTTTGTGATTCCTTTAAGATTCCTTATAAGATTATCTTTAAAGATAAGTAATAAAATGACCCTTTCTTTGTAACCACAAAACGCAGCCTACCAGTAAAAGAATACCTTGCTTGCCTACACCGTTAATCTATAACAAGTTGCTTGGGCAGGAAGGTACATGGCTACTTGGGATAATTTGCTTTTCACTTATAAAGTGTAAAATATTTAATCATGTTAAGGGATATGGAAAACATGCTGGTTTTTCACTTGTATTCATTGTGATCATTTACTTGAAAAATAGAATGTAACCATATTGTAATTTTTATATTGCCTGAAAGATTTTACTGGGATATATAAGCAGTAAGGGAAAAAAATAAAGAGAATGAGAAGGAAAACATCAAGACAGACAGAAGAGACATTTCTAGATAGAGATTAAAAAATGAGAAAATAGAATACAGAATCAGAATACAGAAGAAAAATAAAGAAAACCATCAAGTGAGCGTGTGAGTGTCTTTTCCCTTAATCCCTCAGATAAAAAAGTCAGAGCATCACGCTGACTCAGTGGATTCCCTTGAGCCCTGTGCTGCTGGAGGCTGGCCCCCCATGCAGTAGAACTAAATCCCCCAACCATAATGACACTTAGCTCCAGAATAAACTCTCTCACCTTTTGAGGTAAGAGTTGTGTTTTTGTGGATAGCTGAGTTGCAGGGGTTTCTGTCCATCATCACTCACTGCCCTTTTATTTGTCCATGATGAGGCAGAATGCCATAGGCATAGTGGAGACTAAAACTGTTCTAGAAAAGGAGGAACTGAGAAGTCTAGCTTTTCAGGGAATCAAAATCAATAGCATATGTGATTTTCTTCTACCTATTTCTCTATCTCTTTTTATCTATCTATCTATCTATCTATCTATCTATCTATCTATCTATCTATCATTCTATCTATCTATCTATCTATCTATCTATCTATCTATCTATCATCTATCTATCTATCTATCTATCTATCTATCTATCTATCTATCTATCTATCCACTACATACCTGTCTATTATCTATCTCTTTCTGTCATGAATTTGTCTGCCTGTCTATAATATATATGTATGTAATTTTCCTATAAGGAATTGGAGTATGAAGTCCTAAAGACTGAGAAATATAAGATCTGTTTCACAAAGAAGCCAAAGAGTTCAAACAGTAAAAATGTCTATCTGATTCCAACAACAACAACAACAAAAAAAAAAAAAGAAATAAAGAAAGAAAGAAAAAAACAGATGTTCTAACTTGAAGATATCAGGCAGAAAAAAAAATGCTTTTGTTCTGCCCCTGGTTAGTTCAGAGCTTTTATTTTAGCACCCAGGAGACCAGGCAGGAGGACTGTTATGAGTTTGAAGCCAGACTGGGCTGAATAGTGAATTCAGGATCAACAAGGATGCATAGCAAGATCATATTCTCAAAAACAGCACTACCATGATCAACAAATAAATAATTCTTTCTTATTCAACCTTTTATTCTATGCAGGCCTTCAAATGGCTGAATGGGACCCACTCACAATGGGGTACATAGTCGTCTTTATTCAATCTACCAATTGATACATTAATCTCATAAGATTTTCTTCCCAGATACAACTAGAATTTAACCAAACATCTGGGAATCCTAGGACTGACCCAGTCAGGCTGATGCATCAAATTAGCTACTAGACTAGAGAACATAGGGTTTACAATTCTGATGCTTCTGATTGTGCAGTCAGGCTCCAAAGAAGTCCTACTTGACTGTGCTCCATTTTCTATTTTTCTACAATAGGCACGGTAATCTGTGCTAACTCATCAATATCTTTCTATGATCAAGTTATATATTCATAACTTGTATGTAGAACAAATTTCTGTTTTCTTCAATATCCTAGTAAAGTGTATTATTAGATTTCAAAGTCAACTTGCCATAACCTAGAATTGCCTGAGAGAAGCATCTCAATTGAGAAATTATCTAGGTAAGGCCTACAGCCATATTTGTGGGAGACTGTTTGAATTGCTGATTTAATTGCTTACTGTGAGTAGCACCATTCCCTAGGCTTGGCTCTGAAAAACACGAGTGAAGGAAGCTCACTGAGGGGCTGGAGAGATAGCTCAGCACCTAAGAGCATGATCTTCTCTTATAGAGACCCCAGGTTTGGTTCCCAACCCCCACCCTGGGCAGTTCACACTGGGAGAGGGAGCCTATAACTACCTCTCCAAGGAATCTGATCCCTACTTCTGGCCTGTGTGGATACCTGCACATATGTGTAGGGTGATATTGTGTTCCCCAATATATTGTGCACCCTAATAACCTTATCTGATGTCAGAGAACAGAACAGACACTAGATAGACATAGAGGCCAGAAAATGGTGGCACACACACCTTTAATCCTAGCCTTCTTGAGGCAGAGATCCATCCAGATCTCTGTGAGTTCAAAGCCACACTGGAAACAGCCAGGCATGGTTACACATGCCTTTAATCCCAGGAAGTGATGGCAGAAAGCAGAAAGGTATATAAGGAATGAGGACTAGGAACTAGAAGTATTTGGCTGGTTAAGCATTCAGGCTTTTGAGCAGCAGTTCAGCTGAGAGCCATTCGGATGAGGACACAGAGGCCTGAACAGTACTGGGCATGGTTATCATATGAGATCAGCACTGTCTGGAAGGTCCTGTAGTCTCCTTAGATTTTCTTATATAAAGCAAACAACTCTTACAAAAACAAGAGAGAACCTCAAAAAGTATATGATGTATAAATTAAAAAGTACAAGCTGTGGTTCTATTTTGCAGCAGTGTATGCCATAAATATTTTACAATTGAAAACATTACTAAAAATAATCTGTTAATCATTCACAAAAATGTGATTTCAACTTATTTAGTAAGGACAGCTCTACACAACCCAGGCTCATCACTATGCTTCTCCCACAAAATTCAGTCACCCTGTCCACAATGTGCTCTTGCTATGTAGATGATGAGACATCTACTTACATGAAATAGAATTAAGTTCTCAGTACAGGGAGTTGACATAAGAGAGTTCACTATGATTCCTCCTAGACCTTTTAGTTCTGTTTTAATGTTTCATCTCTGTCAAAATGACTTCAGAATGACCATACTTTTATAATCTCACATAAAGTATTGCCAACTGTTCACAACTTTACTGGTTTCAAAGCTTTTAGTTGGTATTTCAGTCACCCAGTGAAATTTCTCTTCTATTTTTACTCCAATGTCTGAATTTCACATCCCTTGTCCCCAGTTCTTTGAAAAAGCCAAATACCAGCATTTACTCTGCACAACTCCCTTTTATTTACTGCTCTATTTTTCTGAACGCTAGGTATCTATCTAGGTCTCTTCATTCTCAAGTTTGACTTTAAAATTAATTTAAAATTTCACAGAATCTGCTGTTTCTACAAAAGTAGCAAATATATAGGCGACTTTTTTCCCCTTGAAACCCATCAGGAAATGATAAGGAAGATGGGAGTTTGTGTAATTCGTACATGCAAGGAAGGGGAAGCAAATGTGCATGTTTGCGTTAATGTGCTCTTGCCTGTGTAGATGGTGGGATCAACTGTCTCAAGCTCCTGACTTGTGTGACAACTCTGCAGTGATGAGCTGTAACCTGGACCTATGAGCTGAAATAAACCCTTAGTCCCCTAAGTTGCCTTTTTCCAGGGTGTTTTATCACAGTAACAGAAATGAAACTAGGACTTCCCTTAGGACCCTTCCTCTACTCATTGATCCTTTCTACTTGGTGTGAAGGAGTCTTTTGGTGTTTCATACTCTTGCCAGAGTTTGATATTGTTAGTGTTTAAAGACATACTTAGAAAATATTTAGTAGGTACAGATCTACTAAAGGTATGTCATTTTGGTTTTAATTTCCATTTTTCTAAGGGAAATTGGTGCTGATCATTCTCTTCTATCTTTACTTTCTATTACCAAATCTTATACGATAGAGTCTCTGTTTCTGCCCTTTGCCCCCTTTTTTAGTTTGAGTTTTTGTTGATTTTTAAGTTATGCATGTTCTTTATATAGTCTAGATACACAACTTTATCATATACACGAATTGTAAATATTCTCCCCAGTCTGTGATTTGACCTTTCACTTTCTTAACATTGTCTTTTGCAGAAGAAAAGTTAAGAATTTCTATAGGACAGTTGATGAATGTTTTTATTTGTTAATCATCCTAGTTAATGAACATTTTACTTTTGTTGACCATACTTTTGGTGCTATGTTGAAAATTCATAGCTGACCCTAAGGCCACACAGGATTTTCTCTTTTACTTTTCTTTTTTTTTTTTTTTTTTTTTTTTTTTTTGATTTTTCGAGACAGGGTTTCTCTGCATAGCTTTGCGCCTTTCCTGGAGCTCACTTGGTAGCCCAGGCTGGCCTCGAACTCACAGAGATCCGCCTGGCTCTGCCTCCCGAGTGCTGGGATTAAAGGCGTGCGCCACCACCGCCCGGCATCTTTTACTTTTCAATAAGTTGTATAGTTTCAGTTTTATATTTAGACCCATGGTTCAGTTTGAATAAATTTTCTACCCCCTCCTTTTTTTAACCCAGATGGGCTTTAAGCTTACCATGCAGCTGAAAATGACCTTAAACTGCTGATCTTCCTACCTAATCACTGAAGTACTAGGTTATAGGTATGTGTCCCTACATTTACCTTGACATTTGCAGAAATTATAAAGTATGTGTCAAATTTTATTTATTGGTTTGCTTACATTTGTCCATCCTAGTCAATTTATGAACTTCAATGCTTTATCAAAATCTATTAACTGTTTGACTTTATTTTTGCACTCCTTATTTTGATTCACTTATTGATATGTATGATCTTCTATGACTACCACACTGTTTTGTTTAACCTAACTTTTTAGTGAGTCTTGAGCTTTGGCACTGCAACTTTTTTCAATCTGTTTTTCAGCATTATTTTGGTCTAGAAATCATCAGCCTTGTTGGTAATAGAATCAGCTTGTTGCCACCTACAAATTTTTCCTAGATGGTTTATTGAAATTGTGTTAAATATGAAAAAAATACAGAAATTATCTCAATTTTTTTGGGTCAAGTCACTGAATTCAGAGACAAGGAGTAGGTTTCAGAAATAGTGTGTCACCATATGGAGCTAATGGCCCTCGTGGGGAATCTAGAGAAAATATATTTAACAGAAAGTTGGGAATGTGGCACTGTGTACTTCATTGTTCCCTCTTGACCTTACACTGAGGGCTGATCAATAAGTTAAGAACAGAATGTTTTTGTCTTAGGAATGTATTTAGAGTGATGTAGAGACTTGCTAGTACATTATGATGAGGCATTTCTCCTACCAATTGTGTGGTAGTATTTCATATATAGCCAGTTAAGATCATTGTTTCTCCTCATTCTATGCCAATCCTCCTATATTCTTGGGGATGGTCTTTTCAAGCCTAATATGAGTGGCCTCCTCCCTGTCCCAGAGTATGGGAGACAAGGATGGGAGGCCTTTCTCCTGCCTGAACACAGATTAGCCCATTCGTAGGAATCATACCCCATTTTTACCTCAGTTACCCTGATTGCTTACCTCTTCACTTTACCATTACAAAACATTTTATTCAAATCAGTCTTCTTAATGGAATGAAGTGATTTCATCAAGATGCAGATTAAATCCTATTATAGTGTCCCTTTCCTCTTGGACAAAGTCAGACTTCCTCAGTGTTCCCTGTCAAGCTGTGTGAGTCCTCCTGCTATTACCTCCAACCTAAACTTCCTCTAATGACATCCTGGGATCTGGTGACATAATTTTCTTTTTCTCTGACTTCTCAGGATTGTAGAAAGTGTGACTCCTGAGGGTTCTCATGGTATTTGTGTTTGCCCTACTAGAGTGTATTTCTAAATTGTAGTTTTATATTTTATTATTTGCTTGTATCCTTTTCAACACTATGTTCCCTATACATAAGAGCAGGTTCATAGTCTGTGATATATACTTAGGAACAATCATAATACTATAAAGATGAATATTTTTGCTTTAAAAATGAGTAACTGTATGAATGAATTAATATGTCACTGGTTTTGTTTTCAGAACACTATATAAGCACTATTTATAGAGATTTTTACTGCAATCCAGATCTTTGGATTTTTTTCAGGTTGTTGCCAATTCAGTCATCTAGAAGCCATATACATAGAGAAATTGTAAGTTCAACAACATCTCATTAGAACAAAGCAAGATTTTCAAGACTTCTATTTTTCATGACACAAAAAGAGCAATAATGTGTGGGTGGCTTATCTGGCCATTCACATAATGAATATGATTCCTTCTTGTCAAAATGACCTTGTAAGTATATGTGCAGTGATATTGTAACCATAGCAGCAACTGAAGAAAGACAGAAGGACCAGAACTCATAAAGAGTAGATTAGACATAAATTGGAAGCAGGCATGTATGGCATCCATCTGAAAAGATTAGCAGAAATATTAAATAAGTGAAAAGTGCAATCTGGTAAATTACTTGTCAGGGTACAGAGACCACTGCAGCAGGAGTTGTCTTACAATTCTTATGATAGTGCTACGTAAAACAAATTGGGAAACAACATAAGCAATGGATCCTTGTATTTACTTAGAAATGGTCTCAGTAGAGTGAATCTTTATAGTCACTTTAGATATCAAGGGCTAAAGTTGCAAGCATAAGATGGTCCGAGACAATCTGTACTCATATGTGTCATCAGACAGACATGGATGACACCTTGAAAATATCCAACACATAACTGCAAACTTTCTATCTTACTTAGAGTATGGAAGAGAGTTCAATTTGATGTGGCTAAACAATAGTTTTGAATCTCATCTACATCATATATTCCATGTGAACTTTGTTGAAGCAATTGCATAATAATTCCTGATGTCTTTGTTTATAACATAGGGCAAAGATGATATACTTTGATGTTCTTCTGAGACAATATTTAGAAGAAAACACTGAGCAAGTTCTGATCTCTCCAGAGTCACACCAGCATTACAGCACTTCCTTCTCTAGTTATGAAACAGAAATACATGTTCCTCTGAGTATGTGCATAGAATAGAAAAGAAGGAAGGATAGCACATCTTAGATAATTAGTCCAATGCCTAATTCCAGTTAACCTCTCATTTATAATCTTTCTGTTTCCTAGTCTTTCATGTGCACTGAAGACATGAACCACACATAATCGCATAATTTCCTAAGGAATGTTCACCATAGTATAATGATGGTTTAAATAAATTCTTTAAAATTCAGCCAAGTTTTGACTTAGATATAAAGTGTCTCATGAAAAAATAATATTTTGAAGATTGGGTTCCTGATAAGTGGCATTCAGTGTTATGTTTTGTGGGAATGATTACATAATTAAAGCTCTGACTTCGTACTTAGACAAATCCTATGGATGTATCATAATCTAAAGAAGTTGATGGAATGGCCGGGTGGTCGTGGTGCACGCCTTTAATCCCAGCACTCGGGAGGCAGAGGCAGGAAGATCTCTGTGAGTTTGAAGCTAGCCTGGGCTACCAAGTGAGTTCCAGGAAAGGCGCAAAGCTACACAAGAGAAACCCTGTCTCAAAAAACCAAAAAAAAAAAAAAAAAAGAAGAAGAAGAAGAAGTTGATGGAAATATTAGAAAGCAGGTTCTGGTTGCCAACAATCAGTCACGGGAGCATGGCCCAGCCTATTTATCTTTCCCCTCCCATTGGTCTCTGTGCCTGTCTTTCTCTGCTTACATGAGTTGATTTCCACTGTTCCACAACATCACCCCAGGCCACATCAATGGAGCCATCTCACCACAGACTGACTCCTCTAAAATAATGAGCTAAATAATGCTACCTGCCCCCCTTTAATTTGTTTCTGTTAGGTGTATGTCCCAGCAACAAAATTCTGACTGACACACTCATGATTCTATTGGTACTATTAGATCCTTTTAAGCTTAATGGTCTGTATAAAATGTGTCATATAAAAAATATGGAAGGTTTGTTGAGTTATTAACACTTGAGTATGCATCAGTTTCTGAGGATTGTTTTTAATAGGGAAATAACAGAGGTAGCTGCTAGAGAAGGAAGGAGTTGCCTTGAATGTGACTAGCATATTTATGGCCAACTGATGCTGAGAATCCAGGCTGGTTTCACGTAAAGGAGCATTCGAAACTGCTATAGACACCACTGTTCATGGCTGTTATTTGTACCTCATTTCCATAAAATATATGGAAAACTGGCATATAATTTTTGGATCATCAAGTTGTGCTATTTATTCCCACATAAAATAGGATATAGCTGCAAATTTCCACTATGTTCCAACAGAAACTGTAATGCTGGTGTGGTTGGCGTTGTGTTTTCAGGATGATTATCAACAAAATGACAGATTATACTTCTGTTTGGTTCATTTCTCCAAGTAAGTAAACATTCACATATTGCTATCCATATTTTATCATATTATTTAGAGGGAATCACTTGTGGTAAGAGTTCAGTTTTGAGTGGAAGTGTTCACAAAGAAGCTTATTGCTCATTCCTGCCATTCATATATAGTGGCATCAGAATTACTGGTCCTGTAGAAAATAGAATGTGTTTTATATGGATTGCCAATTTTCTTATTATAATACATTTAATATCTGCACAATAAATTTAATGTATACTCTGAGCATTTTTAAAGTGCTTGTTAGTGTTTCAAATCAAGTTATCATGCCATTGATCATAGAATTATTTATAGCTTCCCTATTACCTGCTATTGTATTTGCTGTCTTTTTTGTTTTCATCCAGAACTTAGTAAGATAAGAAATAATCAAATTACCCGGAGAAGCACACCATCTTTTCTGAGCTACAGATTTCTGGTATCCTGGGGAAATGACATTCTCAGCACACAGGTCAAGTGGACTTGTTAGGTGCTTGCAGAATGTCCCTTGGTTTCTGGAAAACCTGGATAGTTGTCATAAAGATATTACATTTTTCAGAAATTAAATCAAGATTCAGAACGGTTATCAGACTTTATCATTTATTCATTATTAATCAACATTTATGAAGAATCTACAATGTGTATCTTGGCAGATAATGAGACAGATGAGACTTCAACACTGTTCAAATTCATGTCATTATGTCATTTACTGGTCAAATATCATTCACTCCTTTTGAATTTCTTTTATGAATTATTTATCCATTTATTATAGAATGTGAGGTTTATACATGCCATTTCTCTTATTGTAAAAAATATGTTCCTTGAAGGGAAATTTTTTTCTTTCATATTTCTCTCTTTTCTTGTCTCTATCTACTAGGGTGTCTTTTTAAAATCACAGACAAGTTGGTAAATACTTATTTTGCTAAACTCTTCCTTTTTGAGTATCAGAAGTATCCCCTACAGTGTGTAGAACGATTTTTTCCACTTCCAAGTATCCCGATTTTCCCTTGTCCTTCCTTCTGATAAAATACTCCTCTCATGTCTCATCAGAGCTAGTTCAATAGTTTATTTTCATTTATGATTCAGCTCTTTCTCCTCTGCTTAATCTTTGCTGGCAGAACCACTCTGAGGCCCTTTCATAATGTGCCTCATTGCCATTTTTGCCTCATTAGTTATCTCATTTCCATCATCTCACTTTCCAACCTCACCAAATTGCTTTCTCCTTGAATGTACCATGTTTTAGTACTATGTTTGTTTGTCTCTTTGTGTTTGTTTATGTGTGTATTATCTCTTGTTAACTCTTTCTAGAAAAACCTTCCTCCCCACACACATTTTTTTTTCTGTCCTGGAGAACCTACTGTGTCTCCAAGCCCATGTCAAGCATCATTCCTTTATAGAGGCTTTCTCTGGTCCCAACACTGATATTACTCTACAAAACCTATCATTCCCTTTTTCTATATTCACAGTGCTATAACATAGCACTCCACTTTACATGGCTCAAGCAGTGGAAACTCATTTTTCATGCTCTGCAGACTGGAAGCCTAAGGGTCTGGTGTGGTTCCTTCATAACAGGTCATACACTTCACTGTATGACTTCATTTAATGTTAGCTACTTCCTAAACTCTGACACCAAATATGATCATCTAGGTAGGTGTGGAGAGGTGACTTAGCTAGTGAGAGTGCACAATACTAAGTGCAGAAGTGACTCATACCACCTATAACTCCAGCTCCAGGGAGTCCAGTGGCTTCAAACACTTCAAGAGAGGAACAAAGCAGCCATGGGCTCAGACAAAGTGAAAAAGTGACTTGGTGAAGGTCAAATGGGTAGGACAAGAAAATATCAAGTGAGAATCTGGAAAGAGCAGAGGTATTTATATAAAAACATCAAGATTGGAGGATACAGCTGGACAAATGGAGATGGAAAATCATCTGGGAGTCTTCAAAGATAAGGAGCCTCAGAGAAACATAATCACATAATGGAAATCCAGGGAGACATGCTACTTGTCAGAAAATCTCAAATTATGTAAGGAGATAGCTAATATGATACTTAAATACAGCCTCTTTCTGAAGAAGTGTATCAGAATACCTGGCAGTAATTCATCGTAGAATTCAATCGTACACCAGTGAGTTAGAAAGCTCCTATGGCTCACAGTAGTAAAACAAAAAGAAAAAGAAAAAAAAGAGAGGGATTTAACAGTTAAAGTTATCATGAATTAAAACAGCCAATTATAATCCCAGGTGACAACACAGAAAAGAAATTATTATTTACTTCGCATCTCAATCAGTAAGCCCATGACTTTTGCTTCTAATCAGGAACAGCCAGCCCACTGTTCCAGTAGGCATTCAAGTTTTCAATTTTTACACTCTTAAAGTTCAGACAAAGAAGCCCAGATTACAACTCTTCCCTAAATTTCAAGGCCCACCTTCACTGCATAACTGTTGCCTTGTGTAGCTCATTAGAAATCAAATCGTTTCACAACGAGTAAGAGAGACTGGTTTCCAAATTTTAAATATACTCTATTTCTTCAACTTTGACTGGGCCCTGTTAGTGTTTGAGAAGCAGAATTTTAATAACTTTATTTTCTCTTCCAAATCAGAAAGGTGTTATCGGGCTAATTATTGGTGCTTAGAAATAACGATGCTTCCTACATAGAGAGCTTGCGCTGGTGCAGCAGGGACTCCTGGAGGTGATGGGAAACCACATAGGTGAAATTTTTTGAGTCTTGGGAAATGGTCATGAGTCAAGTAGGATGAGGGGTAGACAAGTTCATCAGTACTTATTCACTATTTTTTCTGCTTATTTAAATAAGTAAGTCCATAGACATTTTCAAGCTAGGTTATGAAGCATATGAGGAGGGAGACTTTTATTTTCTTGCATATTAGCCCAAGAGTCAAGTTACTGGATAAAATACTGTTACTGCCAAATACTACATTTAAAGCAGTTTCAGGAGAGCAGGCAAGGCTCTTACAGGGATCTTTGGAAAGTAGAGAATACTACCCAGAGATAATAGCACTTGAAAAGCACATCATGAGGTACAGAAAGTTCAGGAGAAGTGGAAAGGGAACTAAAGAAGTTAAGGACAAAAAGAACAAAATCATGGTATGTGGTCGAAGAGCCTATGGTGAATAGGGCCGTATGCTTGGAGCTCAGGGTGTGAGTGAAGGTTGCCTAATTGCCTAGCTTCTTCCAAGTGTTGGTTCTTTTTTCCTCTTAAAAGAAAGTAGGAAAGTCAGAATTTGAGTAACTTGGTGATGGGGCAGGGTCCTAGAGTTTGACCCAATATGACAGGATCCAGTTAGCTCTCTTTATAAGTTGAATTCTATGGTTTTGGGATATTTGTTGTTAATATCTCTCAAAAAATTACTGCGAGATCTTTGCTTGTTTAAAGAAACTTACAGATAGAGATGATTGGATCTTGACTTGCATTGTGTAGGAAACACCAATATCTGGAGCCCCTACATTTTATACAGATGCAAACAAACAAGAAAAGGCAGGTTATAAGTCAGAAAATTTAAGTAAGTGGTTCAAAGTCCTTATAATTTGGTTCAAAAATCAGAATTATATGTCAATCTGTTGGTATTAATGGATTTTTTCGGAACCTCTCAACATAGTTACTGACTCTCAGTATGCTGAAAGAGTGATCTTACATATTGAGACTGCAGAATTTATCCCTTATGAGTCAGAATTAACTTTGTTATGTATTCAGTTATAAGATATAATCAGGAATAAGAAGCATTCCTTAGATATCTGATCACATCTGATCTCATAAGGGATCTTCCAGGCCCTCTAGCCCAAGGTAATGATGAGACTGATAAAGTATTGATAGTAAATGTGCTGGAGGCCTCAGAATTTCATAAAAAAAATCATGTCAATGGTAAGGGTTTAAAAAATAATTTTTCCATAACCCGGCAATAAGTCAAGGGAATGTCCTACGTGTTCTTTTTATAATCAGACTCCATTACCAGCAGGATGTAACCCAAAGGATACTCAGAGGAATGAAATCTGGCAGATGCAGGTGTTTCACTTTGCAGATTTTAGATAATTGAAATATGTATACCATACCATTGATACCTATTCAAGATTTCAGTGGGCAACTGCTATGAATTCTGAAAAGGCTGTTTCTGTAATCACACATTTGCTAGAAGTTATGGCTATCATGGGTCTACCTGCACAAATTAAAATGGACAATGCTTCAGCATATGTCTCCAGTAAAATGAAACAATTTCTTGCTTATTACAATACAAAACATATTACAGGTATAGCGCATAATCTTACAGTCTAAGCAGTCATAGAAAGATCAAATTGAACTCTAAAGGATATGCTAAATAAACAGAAAAGGGTAACATAACCCTAGAAATAGATTACATACTGTTCTATTAACTTTAATTTTTCCCAATGCTATGGAGAGACATTGGATAGCAGAAAAAACTACAGAGTTTAAATCAGCCTGTATACTTTAAAGAAATACTGACCTCAGAGTGGAAACCAGGTTATGTATTCTATTGGGGATGAGATTTTGCTTTTGTTTCTACAGGAGAAGATACGCTATGGATACCATCAAAATTGATAAAGATTTGATTTGAACAAGAGAGACCTCTTAATTAGAAGAGGTGATAGTTTGTCAACCAGCATGACCATTCAATTTAAACTAACTTATACCACTAACAGATATTTTTTATTTAATCAGATATAACTTGCCAAAAGGGAATATCTCCAAAGTTAGGGTTGGCGGTGGGTTTTTGTTTTTGTCTTTCAGGGGAATGAAGGCTAAGGAATCTGAAGAACAATGGACAAATGAGACATCTGAAGAAAAAGGACAAATCATCCAGAAAAAAATGTCCCAAGATAAAGAGTAAAATGGCCTATTGTTATATCACATTTTATAATTCTTCCTAAGTGTTTCTTTCTGCTGTTCTCTACAGACACTTAACACAAATGGTCTTTATGTAGTCCCAGTTCAATTAAAAATTAAAGCTGGCTTTGGAGTTGGAGCATGGCTCTCTCTTTCTCCAAACCAAAGTATGCTTGTTAAAAGAAAATGCAAAATCTCTGTATCATGTCAGAAGAGCTACCTGATATAGGACAGGAGAAAAACCAAAATTAAGGGACTATTCTATTGACACTAATCTCATAATTCTTTGGTTCTATTTTGACTCTTTTTTTTCCATCATAGGCAATTTATTTTGTTCTATTCATTCACAGTTAATACAGAAAATACTTGGAAACATTTC